GTGAGTTGGACCAAGCGACACGCCACTCATTGGGTCCAATGAGGGCTTACCACGTGGTAATAATTAACCGAACAGAAATTCCCATTAACACCATACATTAAAATACCCTGACAAGTCATGCATCATTCAAATATCCAAACAGAAATATATCCGAACAATAATATCTCATCATGATAAACAAAAAATAAATTTTTAACCCACTTGGCAATGATTTCACAGAAGTATATAACAGTATTTATTTTCAATAATTCATAATTTTTCCAAACAACAAAACAACACATAACCATTCACAAACACACCCATCACAACACATTAATAATGGTTACCTTGTGTCTTGAATAACAAGTTCCCCTTCACAACTCCTTTTTCACCACTATCTTTGTCAATATAATCTACATAATTATTTCACAATACTATATATTAATTTTACATTAAAATAAATAACTCTAATTTAAATAATTAGAAAGTCTTAGATCTATAATCCATATTAACACTAATTTAAGATTTATGCCTCATTTAACTTTCCAAATTCTTTTCTAAAATTCTTGTACTCTAATAAACTATTTTTTTTATCCTCAAATCACTTCTAGTATCACAATTTCATCCTTCTATATTCTAAAAATTCGTCTAAAAATAAATTAAATTTTAAAATTATCCTGAAGCCTCAAATCACCTTTCTATAACCTCAAAAATACCTATTCATACTTAAATAAATATTTAATAATCATAGGTTTATCCCTACATCTCAGATTCCACATAAATTCAACCATATAGATCTAGATTTTAACTCAAAAATTCTTAAACATGAGTTTCAACCTCAAGAAAATATTCTATAATATTTATTATATCCCTAAGAGTTTTAACCTATATTTTTAATCCATCATATCATCAGATTAACTATCCTATAGAAAAATCCTAATTAAAATATTTACTCTATCCTACAAAATAATCATATCACTAGAAAGCTAATATTATTTAGAAAATAATTATAAAATTAATTTTGTAATTAAGTAAATTTTTAAATGCTAATCTAAACAGGAAAGTTAGAACATACCTGAAGAAAAAGAAAATAATCCCCCCTTGCGAGAAAACGCCGAGCAACGTGAGAGAAAGAGAGAAAAATAATATAAAAATGGGATTGTGAGTCCCAAAATTATATTAAAAAAAAACTATAGGTTTGAATTTAATTATTCAAACCTTTAGGCCAAAAGTTACAATTTCCTCTAAATTGCATCTTAGCCTCTCATGCTTCCTAATGCACACACCCCCTCCTTTTTATACATGAAGGCACCTCTTCTCTTCCCTCATCTAACTAATGTGGGACTTAGAAACAACAACCTTCCACCCCCCCTTTTTTTTGTTCCTTCTACCTTCTCTTTTTTTTTAACACACATATAAAAAAAATTATTTATGTATTATATCTTAACTAAATATTGCTTATGTGGTTTTAAATTTAGATTTTTAAATTCATAATTAAATACCTAATCATAATATTATTTCTAAATAACCTCAAATAATATAAATTCCTATTATTATCATTTTTTTCCTCAAAACCTAAATTCCACAATTTCTTTATTATATAAAAATCAGGATGTTACAAATGTTCATGCAAGGCTTGGCAGATGTGTGGGTTGCCATGTCCATATGCATGTGCGGCAATAAAGCATATACATGGGAATGTATATTCTTATGTTGAGGAATGCTATCTACTTAGTTGTATTATAAAATTATAAGGCCTATAAGTTTATCTGAGATTTTTTAACACCTACCAAGCAAGGCCTATAAGTTTATTTGAGAATAATACATACTTTTATTAAAAAATTATACGACATTTTTAATCAAATTATAAGGAATGCCTCAATCATAAAATTTTATTTATTACACCTTCTAATTAAGAATATTTTTGAAAAAAAATTATTAATTGTAACTTCAAAGTCCAAAATGCCCTACTATCCGGGAAAATTAGTGCAGCAGAAAGGGTTATTTCCTCATAAAGTAGTGAACTCAGGTTCAAATATTTGTGAAAAAATGTGCTTATATTTAGTGCCTGATTGTGTCTCTAACAAGATTGACTCTAATAGGAAGATATCTATGAGTAATTAAAAAAACTAAAATACTTTATATTTTTTAACATAATTCCTTAAAAAATGCATTATAATATTAAACAAATGATCTTAGAATGGATTTTGTTGGTTAACATGCTTCTTTTATTGATCATAAATTAAGAATAGCACAACTTATTGTAAACTTAATGCAAACTGTATGAGGCTTATATATAATAGTTTTAAGAAAATAAAATGGAAAATGTTAATTATTTTTCATGGTATTCGGAAAGTTAATTTCATGAATCAATCAGCTTTCCAAATTGAAATTCGTAGGGCCAAAGGAGTAGTCTAGTCTTTTAGATGGAATGGCAAATTGTTTATTAGTGTGAGACAATTAGTGGGACCGGTTTCAAATGGTGGAATCATCTTAAGCAAATTCTAACCCTTCCTTTAGACTTTAGATGAAGAGAATAATAGGGTGGAAAAAATCTATAAAAGAAAACTCTTAAAAATAATTTTAAAAAATTACTATTTTGGAAAATTTTTCTTCCTAGTTTCTTTTACCTTATATTTTCTTCCTGCTTTCTTTCCATCCAAACCACATCTAAATTTATCACAAAAATTAGGAGGTGCATAAAACTGGTTGAATTAGCCACAAACAAGTCAAAACTAGTAGAATCAATGTTACACCAATTGAACTTGTCACATTTTTTTCATTTTTAAAATTTAATCAATGTTTCTAAGCTACAATTTATATATATCTATATCAAATAAGTATGCTATTTAAAAAAAAATAAAATAAGTACATAAAATAAACAACAATGAACAAATATATAAGAAATATTTAAGTATGCATTATAAAATTATAAATTAAGAAATAATATATATTTAGATAGATAGGATGAAAGTGATGATAGAGTATAGATGGATATTACCTTTTTTGCTATATAATATTTTTATTTGAATTTAAATATTTTTATTATTATGGATCATTATGTTTCTTATTTTAAGCATATATTATTTAAAATATATAAATTTATTTATGACTAGTTCAACACAGTAGTTTGATTGCGATCCGATCATTTACTTGTGAATCAATATTTCAACTAGCTTAATGGTAGGTTTGGTTTTCTTAATATTCCATAAATGCAGATATACCACACCAAAGAGAACACGTTATATTCTTGAAGGCATATGCTTAAAATTAACTCAGTCAAACCACAAATTTAGAAGATACCAAATGTACATGCAGTCACAACACTACAATAAAAGGTGCAAATATATATATATATATATATATTTTTTTTTTCTTACCAAATATCAAACGTTATAAATAAAATCTTGAAGATCAAACAACAAGCAACACTCCTGGATGGAGCCAACGATTAAGCATCACTTGTGTAGTGATTGTGGCTCCTTGTCCAGATACTGCCTTCATGCTGTGTTACTGCTGCTAGTACCAAACCTGTCCCTTCATATATCATCAAATGAGTCACATCAATTAAAAAGTGAGAATGACAATGAAGTTCTAAAATAAGTAATCGATAACAGGTTGGTCCTCCCAAAATTTTCTGAAAAATAAATTACAAGTATAGATTCATACAGTTTGAAACTGTTGTTAAAAAAAAACAAACAAACAAACAAACAGAACAGAAAACGAAGGTCAATTTAAGTAGATGCTCTGTTTTTCCCATGCAATTTCTGATTTAAGTAATCTAAGTGATGAATGATATGATATCCAACTTGGAAAATGCAAGGCAAATAATTAAATTCTCCTCATAATTTTCTTGACACATACACATAGATATAAGGTAGATGTTAATTACATATGTTTGTCAGCATTAAGTAATAAAGTGATTGAGTCAAGTACTGTTCTCTCATATTTGATTCTAAGAATATTAAATATCTATTTCACGCTATGGCCCAAGTCAAGCATATCACTAAAAGAATGGAAGAAAAATATGAATTAATTGAATGTAACTGTGTAGACATTGTTAATAATTGGCAATGATGACATTAGAAAAGTGATTATTTTGAGCTTGTTTAGTTTCTGTTTTCAATTTTGTTTTTAAAAGCTATTTTGCAATAAATATTTTAAAAACCTTTTTCGAAACAAAATAAAAGGAAAATATATTTGATTGTATTAATTTCAAAATAGTTTTAAAATTAAAAAATAATCAATCGTGATAAGTGTTAGTGATTAATAATAGTAACTTGTGATAGTAATTGACCACGATAACTGTATTTTTTAATAATCAAATGTATTGTATTTTTGTAAAAATAAAAATATTTTTAAAGTGTTTCTATTTTTTTAAAAAAATAAGAATGGTTTTGTAAACAATTAAATTCACAACATTTATTGATCAGGATTTTTTTTTTGTTTTTCAAAACAGAAACCAAACAAGTTCTTAAATTATTACAACTGCCCTCTCGTCTCATGTTCTAAGGCACTTTAAAAAAAATTTCTCTTCTCAAAATATAAAACATTTTAATTATATTAAAATTTTATTAAATATATTAATTCTAATATTACCCTTTTTTTCTATATAATTAATTTTCTTCCTTTCTCTTTTCAATATATTAAATAATGGGTATTTTTAAAAGTTTATATTTTTATTTTAAAAAGATAAAATTGTTAAGTATATTTAATGTGGTTTATTAATATGTAAAATTTTATTTAAAAGTATCTTATAATTTGAGACGAAAAGAATATTATGTTTGGTGTCTAATTACTCTTTTAATTATAATTAAAGCTCTATTTGCTCGTCTAAAACTCTTAAATTATCTCTTCAAATCACTAATATCTATATTTAAATGATTATTTAATTATAGTAAATGTTTGGGAAGGAAGGCATGCAATTACTAATTATTTAAATTCAGAGGCTACCATCAATAAACAGGTCAACGTGCTTTGAATACCCTGTGATGCTCTGTTTCTGACCATGCAATCACTAATTTAGGTAACTAAATGATAAATGATCATAGACATCCTACTTACCACACACACACAAGCCAAAATCATTCACGAAAGCATATGCTTTCAATACAAATCTTGAAAAGAAATAAGGTAGCTTTGAAATCATTCAGATCAAACAAAACTATGTTTTCTTTACCAAACATCAAACTTCATAAAAAAAAAAAAAAAATCAACATTAACAATAAATTAACAATACTCGTGGAATCAAATCAAGATATTGTACGGCTAGCTCCATGCCTCCCTTCGTATACTGTTACTGTCTTCAGGTATCTAACTGCCGCTGAAGGCAGTATAACTGCTGCTGACGGCAGTATAGCTGGTGCTCGGACTCAAAATCTTGTCCCTGCATGTCTCCCTGCCACATTACTATGAGCAATTGAATAATGCAATCAAATTATATGTCGTGGATAAAAAATTAATATCGAGGTATATTTAATATGCTTATTCTTTGCAATTAAATTAATATATGTGATTTTTTTAATATATTATTTATTCTATAATAAACTCTTTGAATATTAACATTTTTAACATTTTTAAAATCCATTTGTTTTAATTTAATTGAATAAAAGTATATAAGGCTAAAACACTTAAATCTTCCTTCAATAGTATATATACGTACGTACTTGGTAATGGGCAAATCTTTCGCACCATACCTGTTAAAGTAATTGACTAAGTATGGTTGAAGGAGAATCTTAGCTTCAGGTTGGTCCCACTGCAATGATTGCCACCATGTGTATGTACATGTTATTTGTTGGAGGGTGGCTGATGGTGAGATTTGCTGACCAGCCTCTGCTCCAAACAAACCCGGAGGCAACTTATTCAGAGCATCGCAGTCCTCAACTTCAATAGTGCGCAGAGAATTGCATTCAATGTCCCCTTTGTATATGCTTTTCAGTGTTGGCAATTTGTCCAATTTCAGCCTTTGCAATTTTGGAAGGATCACTTTGGCAGCATGGCTGCTGTTTTCAGCGTTTGCATTCCTCTCTCCTTCAATGATTTCTTCCATCTCGAAGCAACGATCGATGGCAATTTCTTCCAGACTTTTAAGCTCGTCCATAAGCTGCCTCGGGAACAGACATTTCAACGACCAACAGGATGCCACATGAATGCTCTTGAGGTTCATTAGGGTACGTGGTCTCACCACTTTCCCACAGATCATCCTCAACTTTGGCAAATGACGCAGATTCAATCTCTCTAGCAGGGACAAATTGTTCTCCTTTGATTCAACAATGCATTTGATGTCTGGACACCCATCTAATCGGCACCTTTTCAAGTACATTGCATCCAATAAGTACAAAGACAAGCATTCCATACCAAAAATATCACAAATTATTAACTCCTCTACATCAAGTGGAATCAATGCAGTAATCTCGGCTTCTGAAACCCGTCTATTTCCCCCTCCTATTGCTAAACCAGTTTTCTCAGAAAATTCTGGATTGTGGAGCCCGACAACAAGTTTCAACTCCTTTAATTGAGATGACTTCAGAAATTTAGCAAACTTTTGATAGTCTTCAAGGTCAAAGAATTGCATGTGTAGAAGAGACAGATTATGACAGGATATGATTTCTTCCACTGTCACTGGATACAAGGTGCGCTCTGCACGCTTAGATGATACTCCAATCATATGCGAACCCAACATCAACAAGCCCTCCAGAAGGGTAAATTTGGATATGAGTCCAGTTGGTAAGTTTTGGACAGACGTGAAGGAGAAATCCAGGTGTCTCAAATCAGTCAATTGTTCCATCCCTAGTGGAAGTTTTGTTAAACCTCTAGAAAATGAAAAATCTAAATGCTTCAATTTAGTGAGCCTCTCTAAGGATGGAACTTCAACAAGATTCCAACAGTGACTCAACAATAAGGCATGTAGATTATACAAATTCGAAAGAGACACTGGCAAAACATGAATCCCAGTATAGGAGAGATTAAGAACTTTTAGCCAATGCATGTTGTTGAAGAAGGGGCCTGATAGGTTTTCCAATGAGTTATACTGAAGTAGCAAAGAAGTGATTCTAGGACACATTGGACTGAAGTCTATAGATTTCACATCATTTCTCATCAACGATACCCATTGAATATCCTCTCTCCATTCCTGAGGCATTGCTGGTTTTACTTGTCCCATGCCAGCATTCACAATGCATCTAGGCTTTGTGCTCATGATTGTGATGGCCATGTCTCTTACCATATCATGCAGTTTAACAAATCTCACCCCATTTTCAATCTTCAATTCCAGCAAGCATCCTGATATTAGTTCATCTATAATCATTTGCCCCTTTCGTTTCATCACAAACATGCTTTGACCTTCCAATAAATCTTCCCAAACCCAATAATTAATCAATTCATTCTCATCAATTAGGTGACCTTTTGGGTATAAGGAACAATATAGAAAGCACGATCGCCTTGTATCATCCTTTAGTGTTGAATAGCTCAACTTCAAACGAGAACACACCATTTCATCGATGGTATATATGCCAGTATTTGAAGTTCTTAACTCTGCCAATGCATTCTCCCACTCTCTTATGTTAGTTGTATTTCTCAATGCACGTCCAACTGCAACAATAGCTAGAGGCAAACCACCACATTCTTTTGCCACATCCATTGCAATTGATTGTATATTTGGATTTGATAGCACTTGTTCCCCAGCTTTGTCCTTGAAGAGATCCCATGCTTCTTCTTTTGAAAGAACTTTCACCTCCACATCTTTGTCTGTTTCCATAACTCTACACACTCTAACATCTCGAGTTATAATCACTAATTTACAACCATTCTCTACTGTTGGCACAGGGATTCCAATGCTTTCAATATTGAATGGTTCCCAAACTTCATCTAAAATCAGTGTAAATCTCTTCCTCCTATTAAAAGCTTCTAACAATTTCGAGGCTCTTGTTCTTTCATCATCAGCTTCTTGAAAAGTCAAATCCAACTTCACAGCTATATCCTGCTGCAACTTCTGTAGATCCTTTGATGCTTCCACCCAAATAATGCAGTTAAATTCAGTGCTATTAATCAACAGGCGATTATTAACTTCTGACATAATAGTTGTTTTACCGGCTCCTCCCGCCCCAAAAATACCAATCCTTCTGGCATGCTCATCAAACAAGAATCCCCAGATCTTCATAAATATTTGCTCGTGTGTTTCGTATTCCATCATTGGTGTTGCAGAAAGCAAAACACCTCTCTTGGTTACAAAATTGACAACTGAATCATCTGAATGTGGAACATTCTCTAAAAGTTCATTAGTATCTACGATCTTCTTCTCTATAAGTTCCCCTAACTTGATTCTTGAACAAATGAAACAACATCCTTTATCCGGTCTAAGAAGGCCATTTTCACCTATGAGGTTGCTTACTTCTCTTTTCAGCTGTTCAGCTTGCTCAAGCCATAAATTACATACATTTGTTGATTCAGCCCCTTTTAGATACCATAATTTATTTACTTCATGTTCAACATCTTTTTTATGAGCTTCCAACTTTTCCATCAAATTATTCAGCTTTTGAGAACTCCTTTTGGCTGTTCTCAAGTGTTTGTACTTTTTTCCAATTACTTCATGTAGACAACTAATACACAAGCCTGTGATGCTTGACACACATCCAACAACTTCCATGGAGGATCCAAAGAATTCAAACAAACAGACGATGTATATTGCAGCAACCGGTGTATCCTAATGGCTACATATTGGAAACATAAAGAAAGGTTAAATATTTGATTTCCAAAATTATAAATGGAACAACATCAAGAGCAGGAACATATCGAAACAACAGAGTCCCTAATAGAAAATAAAAAATAAAGACCAACTATGGCACATGTATAACTGGAATAAAAACAAATGCTCATTTTAGTGACCCAGATCTTATGCAATTAATGTTTCAAAAAACACGCTCTTTCTCTCTCTTTCGACATAGAGACAGATATGGCTTCGTGCTCTTGAACGATCAAGCTTCATATAATGATTTTGAGACTTCAAAGTGTTAAGATATGGTGTACGAATACTTAAAAGAGGCGTTTATCTATCGGGCCAGTCACATTAGACCAAGCCGTGCAGGGAAAGATCAAAACAGAGAAGACAGTGGATCGATGCTCTCAAAGCATAAAGTTGAATCTTAGAAAGAGTAAAATTACACACAGACGACAAAGAGAGAGGAGAATCAGAAAAGAGAAGAAGAGGAAATAAAAGCCCACCAAGCTACCTCGTCCTCCAGTCTCTTTAATTTGAACTCTTTCATGTCCTTCATTCTTCATTCTATGGTGCGGCTCTTGAAAATGTTTGATTCTGTGTGAAGATTCTACTCTTCTCTTGGATCCACATGTTGAACAAGCACCGAATTGATAGTTTCAGGGGTCAGATCTCACTCTTTCCGGGAAATAGAGTGAGAGATTAGCAAATGTTTAGTAAAAACCACGAAGACGCCTTGGGTGAAAAAGGCGGCTCGTATGTGTATTTAAAAAAGAGAAAAAGCAAGCAACAAAGACACAACGTTGGCTTTGGTATATTTTTATCAGTGTTATTATTGTTATTATTTTTCTTACCACCAAGCTCCGTCCGTTCTCATATATAAAAGTTTTTTAATTGAATAATGTAAATTAATAAAAATTAATTATCTGTTCAAAAATATAACAGCATTTTAATTTTATTTTTAATTATTGTAAATAAAACATAATTTTTTTTAAAATAAAGTAATGAGAATACTTTTTTTTTCCTTTTCAATATAATAAAAGTATAATGGTTCATTTATTAAAAAATATATTAAAAATTTCTTATATTTAGAGACATAAAAAGATTATAAAAAATCTCTTATATATACAGGAAAGGATGAAGTATGTTGCCTTGGTATTAGTATGGGAAAAATTATTTAAAATAGAAAAAATTTTAAAATATTTGAATATATATATATACATATATATATTCTATGGGTAAACTATTTCCCTGCCACAAGGACAATTCACTAAACTAAACCATAACCTCTTATAGAATTTTCAATTTTTTTCTTTGAAAAAGGTTATATAAAGCAAATTTTTTTTGTGTAAATAAACTCTTCATATTTTGTTTAATTCATTAAGATTATAAACCAACATTTTAATTCATTTTGTTAGGACTAATGGTAATTCTTATAAATTAATTTTCGTTTATTTAGTGTTAGATACTGTTGGGAAGTGTGCAAATAATAAGAGAAACTAAGCAGGATAAAAAATTGGAATTAAAAATTATATTAAAGTTAGAAAAAAATAATAAAAGATGATACATGAAATTTAACGTGAAAAAACCTTCAGTAGAACAAAAAATTCATGGGTAATTAAAAAATGTGTATCTTATTTTGAGTTTGCACACTTGGCTTTAATTTAATATTTTTGGGCTTAATTTATGTTATTTTAGTTCAAGATTAAGATGAAAACATTTTTGGACTATTGGTGATGCTTTTGAAAGGCCTTTGAATAAAAAAATCAAGTATAAAGAGAATAAATTTCATTAATTGAGAAAATAGTGCAAAACAGAACAAAGTCATGACTTTGTTCACAATAACAAAACAAAGCACTTTATTTATCTCATAAAAGGTATAGTTTTAGAGTAGATGTGATCTATTCTCAACTTTGGCCATCATTCTACACACTTGAAGACACTTTAAAAATTTAATTGTGCTAAAGTTTGAGCATGAATTGAGTTTGAGCTTTGAAAACATTTAAAACTTCATTTTTTTAGTTCCTTTTCTTTTCTCCATTTCTCTCCTTGTAATCTATTATGATTGTGAATATTTTATATATTTGTAGCTTTTTTATGTTTATGAGTAACTAAACTCTTTACTCTAGGATTATTTTGAACCTTTTTATACATTAACACTAAGTTTCTCTTCTCTTTTGGCAATTAATGATATATATATGTGTGTGTGTGTGTGTGTGTGTTTATTTTACTCTTTTTTTAATGTTTTTAAATGTTTGGCCACCATTTAGATATTGAGTTCACTAGATTGATGCTTAAAAGGGTTAGGTTAAGTGTAAAATTTGTGTAAAATAATATAAGAACTTAATATTTACATATTGAATGGATGGTTTTGCTAGTAAAAAATAGATATATTTGCTAATCTTGCATAACCACATTAGGGTTGGTGCTTGAAATTAGGTTTTATTAATTGTAACAAGAGATTAGACAATTAACTCTTTGAAAAAAAAATTATATAAAGCAAATTTTTTGTTATAAACTCTTCATATTTTTCTTATTGTAAATAAACTCTTCATATTTCATCTAATTCATTAAGATTATAAACCAGAATTTTAATTCATTTTCTTGGGTCTAATGGTAATTCTTATAAATTAATTTTCGTTTTTTAGACATTGTTGGGAAGTAAGCCAACAATGAGGTAAAATAAACAAGATAAAACAATTAAAAATTATAAAAAATTAAGGAAAACAATGAAAAAATGACACATAAAATTTAACATTATAAAACCTCCAATGTAAGGGACAAAAAATCAATGAGCAATAGGTGAAGAATTTTACTACAGGAAACAAGAATTACAACAATTATCTCTGCTATAAATAATGATAAATAAAATATATAGAGAGCTTTTCATCAATTAAAAATATTATATTTGATAATAATAAATATCTCTTACAATCTTAAATAAATATATGATAGATTTAAATTAAAATAATATATAAAAATAATCAAAAAGCATCATATTAATTTCAATTGAACTGTCAACATATATTTAAATCACTAGAATTTATTGCTCATTTGACAGCAATTACCTCATTAAAAATCTTTCTTTCTTCTTCTTTTTAAAAATTTAGGAACATCGAAATTACTAATTAATTAAAAATATCAATCTGCAATATAAATTACAAATGAAGAATCTTGTTTTCAGACAATAAAGTAAAGAAGGTTGACAGTAAAAATTATCTTTAAAATCGCAAAAGGATCAAGTTTTAGCTAACAAAGTAACAAAAAGACTTCACGCGTTTTGTTTTATTTATGAGTATAAAATAAACAATTCTCTTGGGAGTTGGAACCACTTTCAACAACAGGTACAATTCCTGTCACTTGGTCTCTCTCTCCCACCTGCTCCAAGCTGTATAATCCTATTTATAAATCTCTGGTAAACACATTGCCAGATGATTGGAGGGATCGTCTGTCAATTAGAGCATGTGCAAGGGCTAGTTTTAAAATCTTCGGGTTGGCACCAAGACAAAACCTTTGTCAGAGAATAATATTTGGGTACTAATCTAATCGTTTGATAGTTCTTCGTCTTTACTCTCTCTCATTGTGCTTCATGCCTACATTTTTCCCACTGTTGCAGAAAACACAGAAGCAGAACACTGCAACCTTCAGTGGGGCTTTAGAATATATGCTTAAGCATAAAGTATATTATTTTTAGTGGCTGATATTTTATCCTTCCTTTTTGCCCTTCAAATTTGGATGGCCAGCCATTGAGAAGGGCATGAGATTGAGCAGCTGCTCATGTATGTCATTAGATTCAGGACTGTACAAACACAGGCTTCTTTCTGATATATTTACACGTCTCCTAATTGGGCATTTCAAAAAGAGACTACTAAGTGAAGAAGTCAGTGTGAAATCACAAAAACTTCTCACTCTAGTATAAACAACTTGTACATTACCTATTCGCACAACAGTTACATTCCTATAATTGGATCATGAACTAGCCAACTAGGACTCTGATAGTTAGATATACTTTCCTTCTTGTAAGTCATCTATTATCAGGGGTTTCCATTTGTGTGTCTGGTAGTGGTCAAGAGAGCACAATGACGGTTGATTCTGGGGAAGCAGTATCTTCTTGATGCATAAGGTGAATCTGTGGCACTGACGTAGTACCATCTGGAAGAACAGTCAGTTGCATCTTTTTGTGCCCCAATTGTGGACCCATACAAATGAGTTTCTTGAATAAGCTTTCTGCTATGAAACTACTTAACTATTCAACTGCTCTAATACAAACTGTCATATCACTTGTGGGTCCATTGCCTTCTTGAGCCATATTTTTAGTTACCTGCAGAATCCTTGCTAGTGAATGATAGAAAATAGTAAACAGATGGTAGATGTGACCCCAGAAATGACAAAGAGAACCCAGAAACTTTCAAGCTTCAAACTTTGTGTATCATTGGAGGTTGAGTTGCTGATGCACTCGTTTGAGTGACATAACCATTTTGCTTCCAAGTTCGTTAGTTCTCCATCCTCTGACAGCTGTAATATTGCTTTAGAAACATCTTCGGCCACTTGGGAGTCTTTTTGGAACATCTGCATAATGTGATTGATAAGGAAAATCCAAGTAAAATGTTTAACCATGTAAATATAGATGAATCATGTTTATTATAATTACACGACTGAAATCACATTGCGTCCAAGTCTTATTCAAGGAAAGTTAATAAAGACATGGAATCCTATTATTACTTACAAATCCTAGTCATCCAAATCTGGTTGTTGGTGTGGAGCCAGAATATTCCTTGCAGTAGGTAATAACGTATACCTTTTCATAAGGGAGTTCGAGAAAAGCTACTGCGATAGGATTGTTTTTGAATTCACCATCATAGTAGTACTAACTACTTATGTTGATGATGTTTTCTGGCTTGAACTGTTCAACTTTCTCTAGGTATGTTCTAACAAATGAGTCACCATCACAGCCAATTTCCATGTTGTTCATCTTCAGCCGCTCAATGCCTGCGACATTTGGCTGCAGCTGTTGAGCTATTATCATTGAAGAAAGACTAGCAGTGTAGCTTGAGCTCAGAATCATCACTAGAAGAAGCTATGCTCCCATTTCCGCACGACATAAGTTGCTATCCATTTGCTCCCCTGTATGATTAATCAGATAACCGAGTCTAAGTTCAGTCGTCATTTTTAGCCTAAGAAGAAGCATTGGTACTGACACAAGGTACTGATGACCATGAGACATGACAATATTGGTAATGAATCCTAGTAGCATGCTCTGTAATCTCCAAGTACAATATAAAGTGTTAGATGGTACAGTTAAGCTTGTTCAGTGCAGCAAAGAATTTTATTCATTGAAGTTTAGCAAAAATGCTTTCTATGAACAAAGAATAGGGAGGAGAAGGTAAACCAAAGAGCAGTGGTAAACTGTCTCTTCCAATTGCCATGAAACTCTGGGTTAGGTACTCGTTCCAGGTACCAAACTACTAACATTGTGTAAATCAAGATTCCACCTGTTATCGCCCACATTTGCCGGGTGAATAGCTTTAGAAACATCCATGTTGACTCTTGAGACCTCATTGGAACTATCATGGACAATCCTGATTCTGCATAAGGCAGAGTAAAATCCACGTATTGCAGTCTCTCTGCTAGTAGGGTCATGTCACCAACCACTGCATCATATGTCTTCCACCACCTTTGTTATACCATGACAACCAAAAGAAGTAAATGGAAATGACTTATTAGTTTACTGAAGTTGAACCAA